CGGTAATCCAAAGGGGAACCCCAAGATATTCCGGCGGGTTTATTGTTGATGAAATCCAACCGTCAACAACTGCTAACAACCACCGGTATTGGCGGTCGTAGTTGCAAAAATACCTAAAAATTTATAAAAGTCACAAATAATACATAGAAATCACAACAAAAATTTACAAAATACACAAGTCCATACAAAAACTTGTTAAAAGAAGTTATCAAAAAAAATAAATAAATAAAAGAAAAAAGTCCAGCGTGAAGGAGAAAAAAAAAACTAGTCTGATAGTCAGAGCTAGGGGCGGTAATTCGTGTCATGTGTCGTATTCGTATCGTGTTTTGATCAGTTTTTTTTTTAAATTTACAATCAACCCGAACATGACCCGTGACACGAAATTTTTTAAAAACCGCAACACGAACACGACACAACCACTTTACGAGTTGACACGACACGACTCGAAAATGATCCGTGACACGAAATTGACCCGTGAATATGAAATTGACACGAAAATTGTATACTTTTATTTACTTTTTTACATATTCGAAATAACTTAAAATTCATAACCCATTAAATTATAATAACATCCATTGAAATTAAGCAAATTATAGTATAAGATTTTGAGTATAACTATCATGATATCACAAGTTTATAATAAAATTTAAAATATGAAATGAAAAATATATGTATTTTTAATTTTTTACGAGTTTCGTGTCGTGTTCAGATTAGGCGGGTCCAATCCAAAATTGACCCGTAAAATTCGTGTCATTTTCGAATCGTATTGTGACCCATATTGCCGGCCGTAATCAGAGCATTTATAACGAGGGTGGTAGATCTTCATCTCTCATAATTAGATCACCAAATAAAAAACAAAGGACATTTTACTTGCTTCACCAATTCCCCAGCAAAGAATACCTAATAATAACAATATTTACAATGAGATTATTTATTTATTTATTATTTTTTATTGTGTGGCTAAGTGGCTATGGTGTGTATGGTGAGGCTGAAACACTAGACGGTGAATTTAGCAAGAAGTACATATAGAGGATGTTTAGTAGAGAGATTCATTTTTTAATTCGAATTATGATTCATGATTCGTTATAGTATTTTTTCTCATAAAAAATTCACGTAAATCAAAAATAATTTAAATCACATAATTTAAATCCTCCGACCAAACGCCCTCATAGTTCTACACTTAGGGCCCGTTCACTTCGCTGATTCGAGTTTTTCTACAGTAAAAAGCTCTCACAAACAATCACATCTAACTTTTTACTACAATAAAAAACTCTCACATAAAGTCACATCTCAACTCGAATTTTAAACTCGAATCAGCGAAGTGAACGGGCCCTTATACTTCTATAGATAGGACCCAACAGACATCCACTTGAGTGGGCAACACGCGTCTAACTTTACAGCTGGATCCCGACCCCTTCTAAATGAGTGGCAAACAACTTAAGTGGGCCCCTCTCCACGTGGCCACGTCATCAACTAATTGATGTTCTATGTCAAAATATCCAAAAAATATATTTTTTAGTGAACAAAACGTCCCCACTGCTTTGTTGCTGCCAACGCGGCCAATAATAATAATAATAATAACAGAAGATAAAATCGGGGGAAAAAATATTTGTCCCCAAATTCTAATTGCTGTTTTCGTTGACAATTTTAATTTATTGAGAGATGTCATTTAGAAAGAAAAAAAAAATCGTATATATATGTGTGTGTAAAAATGTATTTTCCATGGATTAAACCTATTTGAAAATTTAACGCTTGTTGTGTTGCTACTACGTTTTTCTTTTAAATTAGATTATTCCAAAATAATTGTATGAGATTATTAATTACAATATGGCAAATGAAGAACAATCATACAATCTTGTTGCCACAACTTGTTTTGACTTTGATAAAGTTTTCTTTTGATTGTTGGATATTGCTAAGAACAAATTAATAAAAAATATATATATATATATATATATAAATAATTTGGGGCCGGCCGTCATGGTTTATTTGTTCGTTTTATCATCTCTTTTGCCCTCTCCCAACACAACAAAAACAATAGTTGGCTTTACTTGGTCTGGGTTTACTTTATCATTTTTTTTTTAATATATTTGTGTTTCTGAATCAATCCAAAACAATTTGCTTTATCTCAAGTCTTAACTCACCAAATTGTTTGACAACCAAGGCACGCTACTTTTTATTAGTATTATTATTATTATTTTTATTTTTTGCCTTCCCTCATTTACAGGCGATATTTGATAAATTAGTCTAATGTGGAATTGTTCATGACCATAATGCTTTATCAAAAGTCAACATTTTTAGATGTTATTCTTTTGGACTATGATCACCAAAACTTTTATCTTAGGAAACTAAACACCATAAATATTCAAAACCAAGCATGTTAATTTTTGGGTGTAAGTTAATAGGGTTAAATATCCACTTGTTATGGTGAATTTGATTAAATTCAATTTATTTGTATAATCGTTTTCAATCGGCAACAAAAACTCGCATAATTTATTAAGTTCCCAAGCAAAGAGAAAAAGAAAAAAAAAAAAAAAGGGCAAAATTAAAATAAGCTCATATGAGCATAGCAGGGCAAAAATTTAATACTTTGTTATAAATTAAACGATTTTATGGAGCTCCTTTTGTTTAAACTTAAATTAAAAAATATAACATAATTAAAATACTCGTGAACTTCTATCAATTGGATTTAATCATCCTTTTGTGTAAAGAATTGAATTAGAATAATTTTTCATTTTTGGAAAATTATCCTTTTATGTTCACCAAAGCTAAAAGAAACGTTACACGATATGAAGAGCTGTATTCCTCTTCATCATAAATTGACAGCCGTTGATCATGTCAGGATCGAACGAACATTCTCGATCCCAGAAATGCCATTCGACAGATTCATAGGAACCCCAAAAAAAAAAAAAAAAAAGGGGGAAATTCACTGCTTGGATTCTGTCCAGAGCGTTCTCCGCTAATGTCCCAAAATCAACCTGGCGAGGGCATTTACGTAGTTTCAACTCATCTATTACACCACATATTAGGACATAAATGTCATTATAAAAATGTTTGCCACCAAATCATACCCTTTCTCCGCGTTCTTTTCCTTTCTCTGCGTTCTTTTCCATTCTCTCTCTAGATTTATCTTCCAATCAAATCGCAGAAAAAGCTGCGAACTCTCTCCTCTCTCTCTCTCTCTAAAAGTTTTTCTCTTCTTGAGTGGTTTAGAGCAACCGGTTTGAGCTCAATTTGCGATGGAACTTCCTCTGAAACCTTTTGGAGTCGAATGATTCGTGGATTGGCTCAATGTCCGACCCTCGCTTCTCGATCCGCCACTGACTCGCTTTGTTCAGCCGTGAGTTTTCTAGGGTTTCTGAATTTTTCCCAGAGCTCACCGATTTCCAGAAAACATTCTCCATTCTTGCAAATGTCTGCTGTTTTATTGATCCAATTCATGTTCTCTATTGTTTTATCTTTTTTAATGGATTTCATTTCCAATGGGCATTACTATAGATGGTTTTTATAAATATTGCAATAAAGGTGGATTATTCAGGGTCATGTACATGCATTAGGGTTTCCAGAGGAGGTAATTATTGGCACATTTTGTTCTAATTGTAAAGTTTTCTTTTTTGTTCAGATTAGCGTAGTTCTGATATGTTTGCTAGTGGGGATCTGTGTTAATTGCCTTCAAAAATTTTAAGTGGTAGAATTTGTGAAAGAGAAAAAAACTTTTCTTTGTTGGTTTTGGAAAAGGTTGGAAATTTTTTTTGTATTGTTTCAATGGTTCTTTGATTCATAGGGCCTTTAACTTCTGAAAATTTTGACTTAGTTTATTTCGCTCGATCGAGAACTTAAGTTAAAAATAAATTTATGTGGGAGAAAATATTATAGAAAAAAAAAATTGAATTTGAATTTTTGTGAGAGAAAACACTGTAATAAAAACTTGAGTTATGATTTAAATTAACGAAATCAACGGGGGCGGGGCCTTCATGTTTTCCGGCAGACATGATTATTTTTCTTTATTTTTTTAATAATATCCTTGACTGATTAAATTGTGAAAGGACTTTATTTGATTTGTTTGGACGATCATTGTGGCACCAGGTTCTCTGAAATGTTGAAACATAGAACAAAATGAGCCACACCGAAATAACAAGGATGAAGCCTTCTCCTGTCCCTCTTGCAACTTTAATTGGTCGTGAGCTTAGGAACGAGAAGGTTGAGAAACCATTCGTGAAGTATGGCCAAGCTGCTTTGGCTAAGAAAGGAGAGGATTACTTTCTGATAAAGCTCGATTGCCAGAGAATTCCTGGGAATCCGTCGACGTCATTTTCTGTATTTGCGGTATTGTTTCATTTTATTTCGCTCCTCACTTAATGAGTGACAGCTGATAGCATTTTATTAGTTACTGAAAAAAGAAAAGTAAAAGAAGACAGTTCTAGTACTAGAGAATGCAAATAGTTGACATTAACTGAAACGGATTTTGTAGCTGTACGGATTTCAGTTGAGCGGGGACCAAAGCTGTTTACATATGAAAAAGAAAGAGTTTAGTTTATTTTTCATGTACGTTCTTTATGATACCGATTAGGAATTCTTAATCAGCAGATATTTGATGGGCATAATGGTATATCAGCTGCAATCTTTGCGAAAGAAAATTTGTTGGATAACGTCTTGAGTGCAATCCCTCAAGGAATCAGTAGGGAAGAGTGGCTTCAAGCACTTCCTCGTGCGTTGGTTGCTGGTTTTGTGAAAACTGACATAGAATTTCAACAGAAAGGCATGTTCCGAACTTACTTTATTGTAGGTCTTTTGGAATTTGATTTTTTGTTGTCATCTCATGTTTTAATATGAATAACAGGGGAAACTTCTGGGACAACTGTGACGTTTGTTGTAATTGATGGGTGGACTGTGACTGTTGCATCTGTTGGGGATTCTCGATGCATATTAGACACTCAGGGAGGCGTAGTTTCTTTGTTGACTGTTGACCACAGACTGGAAGAAAATGCAGAAGAGAGAGAGCGTGTAACTGCAAGTGGGGGTGAAGTAGGAAGGCTTAATGTTTTTGGTGGCAATGAGGTATCTATAATGTTTTCTTAATCTGTACCTTTTTGTAGCAGAAAGATGTTTCTGGGAAAACTTTTGTATTTTGTTCTAAAAGTTGAGCTTTTATTTGCTTCATAGGTTGGCCCCCTTCGCTGCTGGCCTGGTGGATTATGCCTTTCTAGGTCAATTGGTGATACAGATGTAGGAGAATTTATTGTCCCAATTCCACACGTTAAGCAAGTGAAGGTGAGCTAATATTGTATTAATGCTAATGGATTTTATTGACTTACCAATAAAACGTTCCGACGCTTAAAATTTATTTTTTGGTCATGCAGCTCTCAAATGCCGGAGGGCGATTAATTATCGCTTCTGATGGGATCTGGGATGCACTGTCTTCTGACATGGCTGCAAAATCTTGCCGGGGATTGCCTTCCGAGCTTGCTGCAAAGCTGGTTGTTAAGGTGATGTCTGTGATCATCACTCTTTTCAACATGCATCTGGTTGTTTATTATTTTTGTTCTTAGATCTTTGTTCTGCATGTTTTAGGAGGCCCTAAGATCAAGGGGTCTGAAAGATGACACAACCTGCCTGGTTGTTGATATAATTCCGTCAGACCTTCCTGTGTTGCCTCCAACGCCTAGAAAGAGACAAAATGTGCTTGCTTCACTACTCTTTGGGAAGAAATCACAGAATTCGGTAAACAAAGCTAAGCTTTCTGCTGTTGGAGCTGTGGAGGAATTATTTGAAGAGGGTTCTGCAATGCTTGATGAAAGGTATGATCTCTTAACATAAGAAAAGGATTTCATAGAGCAGAATTCCATGTCAATTGACCGACTGCTGCTTATTGCTGACTAAATGTGAGTAATATTTCAAAATGGAATTACATGCATTATTTTCTTATATGTTTATTCAATCTGGTTCTCTTAAAAGCTATAGACGCAGTTTTGTTACATGATTGTACTTTTTTTCTTTTTTGTTATTTTTTTGTTATTTCTTTATTATAATAGCTTTTCTGTTCTGTGATGAGTATAGATATCTCAATCATCTAGACTTTCAGTCGTTAATTCCTCGGCCTTCTCATTAAAAAAAAAAA